CTTCAGAACTAATTTTAATGATCTGTTCATTGGAAAAAGAACTGATGTTCAACCAGATGTTGAAACATCATTCCAGAAGAATGTGTGTAGAATCTTGTTGATCCAAGGAGTGAACTTCTTGGACAAAGGAGTGGTGTAGCATATGCTTTGGATGCTAAACAAGTGAGTGTTGATCAAAAGTGTTGGGAATCTTATCCAGATTGGACTTGAAGAGACATTTGGCCTGTAGTCTAGGAAGTCTCTATCCAAGGAACTTGTTATGGATAGGTGTGCTGGTAGAAGTGAAGATTAACACGTGATCTTCTTGTTGAACATTCCTTACGTCAGTTTATTTCTAATCTACGCGCATATGGATGTTGAAGCTATGTTCTAGTATCTCCTATAGTAGTATGTGTTCTATTTCCTAGTGGAGGACTGTTAAAAGCATCTCAACCAGACTATATGGAGGTCAAAATCAAATATCTAGGACCTTTTCTCAAATATCTTGAAGATTCTTCTGCTCATAAGAAGCCATATTCTTGTGAACCTGCTTGTGGATACTCTTTTCTAATAGAATAGTCTCTGGTATGAATGATTATGTTGGAGAAGTGAATTTAAAGAAGTAATTGATCAAGATGGTTTTTCAGAAGACTGGTTGTTGTTTTTTTTCTTAAAACATGATAGAGGTTGTTTACTCAAACTTAAATATAAGTTTCAATTTTATGAGAACATGGAACTCTTGTTCTATTGAGGTAGAGAAATCCTTCAAAGTGGGATGAGCTTTTCAAGAATTATGTCTGGATCAAGGAGGAATTAGAATTGGAGGATCCAGTTTCTCTGGTGGATTAAAAGACCACTCGTTTGGAAATTTGATTGATCATCCTTGTAGGGAGCTGTGTCGAATAACCATAATTATTTGTATGCTCAAGGAAGTTTTTGCTTTTTCTTAGGGTCCAAGAAATGTGTATCATCACATGTTTGGAACATTTGATCTTGCAAGTGATGGTGTTCTTGAACTTATGAAAGTCTGTGCAAAAGGGTAGTAGACAGAAAGTTAAAGGAGAAACTGTTTTTGTCCATGCCTTGGTGCATGTAGAAGAAATCCCAAGGTGATTTAGGATGATTGATGTATCTAAAATATCAGATAATTTTTTTACACATTATGGTTCTGGTAGAAGCTTCATGAGATGCATGAGAGTTTATTTCCCTTAGTGGTTCTCTAATTCATGTGAAGATTAAGTCGATACAAGTGTGTATCATATCAAGATCTTCATGTGTATCTTAACGAGGTGTAAGAATTACTATGCAAATGGTAAGTCCTGTGATTGGTGTTTCAAGAATCAAAGTACATGGCTTCTCTGATTGGGACTGATGTCCTAAATGATGTTGGAACATCAGTCCTGTTATTGGAGGATGACTGAGTTTGATTTTCATCTTTAGAGATCTATCTATTAATTATGGCGTATGATGTAGAACTATTGGTCAAGACTGTGTGGATTCTAATTATCTGTGAGTAGATGGTAGGTTCTGCTGGTAGTTCGTAGGACTACAGTGAAAAAAGGGGAAGGTTGCTCGCTATGATCTCACAATCATATGCCCATGTATTCTCAACAGGTATGAGAAATCAAAGCGTTTGTAGTTCGGACTATGGTTTGTTGGTGATTTTTATGGATGATGCTAACGTTCACACTCTAGTAGTTAGGTGTATTGTCGCTCGCTCATGGAGTCTTATGTGTTACCTGTATTGCGGTAGAATGGAAATAACATGTCCTTTTAAGAAAGAGTTTTGATCTCATGGAGGTGAGAAGTTGATTTAATGCGTTAATTGTTTATTTGGATGACAATCATTTGAGTTCTTAAGAAAGACTCCTCGAGCACAAATAATCGGGAGAGTGAATCGAACACTCGACTCTATCTCTTTTTCAACCTTAATTGGTAAAGGGTTTTGATATAGTTAAAGTATTTTAAGCGGATGACGATTACTTGAAAGCTTAAGAAAGGCTCCTCGAGTCCAAATAATCGGGAGAGTGAATCGATGACTTGACTTCTCTCTTTTTCATCTAAGTGATTGAGAATAATATGTTTGATTCAATTTGTTGTGGAAATAGTTTGATGTGAAGCGTATTACGAATCTTTTAGAGAAGACAATTATTCGAGTGTGAAGAAGACTCCTCACCCTTAAACAATCGAAGAGAGAACTCGAAGACTCCAGTTCAACTCTCTTTTCATCTTTTATTGAAAAAGTATTTCATAGTTATTAAGCGTTTTAGTTTGATTTGAAGAAAATACTCGATATGGATCAAAGTTTAACTCTCTTTTCATGGTTGTTTCTTCGATGGATATTTTTGATTGTGGGTTGTATATGTTATAGTAGGATGTGGAAAGGAGAAGGAAGAGAGGTTTTGCAGGTTGAGAAACAAAAGGTGTTATGTAATGGATGTGTTCTTTTGAGATATGTGGTGAAGGATTCTCTTTTGCAGAGAGCAGAACCAACTCACCTTTCTTTCACTTCTTGTTATTTATCCATTAAATTCCAATTGGAAAGAGAGGAAAGGTAAATAGCAGGTTCACGTATGAGAAGATAAAGTTTGTTATGGTGGCTCAAGGACGTGAGTGAGTGTGTTGTTTTTTTTTTACTTGCTGACGGAAAGTGGTGAGAAAAATGGTTTATTCTTTGGCTCTCATTTCCTTCATCGTCATGTTGAGTTGGTTTAGTGGTTTTGATGGCTAAAGGTGCTATGTGTGAAGGTTATTGAAAGTAGTGAACAGGGAGCTTCTTTTTCTACTTCATCTCTATTTTTTATTTTCGTTTTATATTGCAAATTGAGGATCCCAGTAAATGGGGTGCAGCTTGATCATTATACGGTGTTGAGAGTTTTGTTGCAGGTTTGGTGAATTTTTGTGTAGAGTCTTTGAGGTTTTTTTTTTACATGGAGAGAGTCAGGTTAGATTAGTATTGTATGTTGTGTGATGGTTTCCAAGGTAAGTTGTGTGATGATGGCGCAGGTAGAAGAAAAAAGCTTGTTGAAAGTGAATCATGGAAGGAAACAAGGGTTAGTTGCAGCTTCTTTGGTAATGAGAGTTATCGCTAAAACAAAGAGATTGAGAGAATTATGAGTGTGTATGCGCCGCCTGTGGTCATGGTCTTTTTTGGATCCAATGTTCATGAAATGTATAATCCTAGGTTTACAAATGAAGAAAAAATAAAGACTCCTTTCTAACCCTTAATCTACAAGTATTCCAAAAAGAAATAAAAGAACAAATATTTTTTTGAATTATTTATTTTTATTTTTTTAAAAAAAGAAAAGAAATAATTAAATTAACTAATATTAATTAATTAAAATAAACTAATACTAATTAACTAATTAGATTTAAATTCAACTAAATTATTATTTAACTAAAAATTAAAAAATAAAAACGATTAAAAACAAAAAATCAGACTAGTATTGAAATGCTCGAGAAATGAAAATGAATATACCAAAACGATCAACACGAAATAAACGACTCGAAAAAATACAATATTCGGTCAAATTTCAAAATAAATTGGGACTAGTAAAAATGCTCAGATTGATCAAAATATGGTCGAAAAGTCATACAAAATTAAAACGAATATGCAAGGTTAAACTACGTGAAACGTAGATTAAAATAAATGACATTTGCAAGCTCAATTTTGAAACTTTTTGTCCACTGATTTTACACACAGTTAACTTTCAGTTTGACCGATTTGACTATAAATCCAACAAGTTTATTCTGGTTGATAATTTGGACATGTGTAAGATGAAAAGCATGTTATACTATACAGATTATGCAAGATGAAAATTAAGTCGGACGAATGCAAGCTTTAAAATGTCTGGTCAAAATTTGGGATATGACACATATCCATTAAACTAAATTCACCACATTCAACAATCAAGCTTCAAGTTCATTCTCATTCAAGTAGCAAATTTAATCCATATCAATTCAAAACAATTCATATCAACTCAAGTTCATTCAAGCATTCACAATTCAAATTTAAATTTAATTCAATTAAGTTTTAAGTTCAATTCATTCAAGCACCCAATTCATTCATTCAATACAGACATGCTTCAAGTTCAAATTCATTCCAGTCACATTCAATCCAATTCAAACTCACTTAAGAAAATTCAATCCATATCAATTCAATACAATTCATGTTGATCTAAAACAATCCAATTCAAACTCACTCAATCACATTCAATCCATATCAATTCATTACAAATTCATGTCAACTCAAAATTCATTCATACACACATATCATGTTCAAACTCATTTCAAATTCATACCAATTCCAATTCAAACTCATTCATACGCATACATATTCATGAAAATGCATCATTTCACCAGCAGAATACAATTGCAAAGGTTATGTGGTATGAGGCAATAAAGAAATATTCAAGTGAGACCATGTACCATTTGTTTCACTACAGACAAAACAACAACATTTCACAAGAACTGCAAATTTGTACAGACTCTCACCACTACTCACAAAAAATTCAAATTTGTGTCTCACCAACATTTTTTTCGTACAAGTTTCCCACATTACAAAAACCCTAATTTAAACTCTAATTTCACACTATTTAAACCACTGTTAATTCATTAGAAATACACACAGCCACCATACATAGTAAAAATCCTAGGCAAGAACAAAATGCTGCAAAATTTTTTTTCCTAACTTCAAACTTAGATTCAACAAAAAACAACATAGAAGCAACACAAAGACACTCCGGAATAAAAAAGAAGAATAAGGAGCAAGATAAAGACAAAAGAGAGGAGAAGTAACTCTACCTGAGTTTGAGATCTTCAAGGGTGATTTTCTTCAAGGCTTTTATTCATATTTGTGTAGCTCTTGCTTTGTTGTTGTTGCTACTGCTTTGTGCGTGTCAAATCCATGTTTGGTTGTGTGAGTTTCTTTGGCCAGGATTCAGTTTAGGAATGAGACCGGTATGGACATTTGAGAAGAAATTAGGGAAATATGAGGTTAGATTTGAGTTCACCATCCTTTTTTAGCTAGGGTTCGTGTTTATAAGTTTGTGTTTTAGGGTGGTGGGTGGCCAGAGAAGACGACGACGCCACCGCTGGTTGCCAGCCTTCTCCGACGAAGCTTTTAGAGAGAGAGAGAGAGAGAGAGATAGATAGAGAGAGAGAGAGAGAGAGAGAGAGAGAGAGAGAGAGAGAGATGTGAGAACCAAAGAGAGTAAAGTTTGAGCAACAAATACTTTTCTCTTTGTTTCTCTGAGTGTTAACTTGGGTTTTTTTCTTCTTTCTTGCCAGCGTGCTAGGTGATGATGGGTGGCTGAAGGAGGTAGAGACATGTGTCACTGCCCTGCATCTCTTGTATTGTTATCCCATGCTACCATACCCTGGCTAGCATATCGTGTACCCTTAATTTTGAACCGCGTGATCGTTGACCAAGTCAGATCTTATGATATGACGATCACGATCATCTCTTTGCGCCAACTGTAGTAGACTCTGCCCATACTGAATCATTTCGTGTTGGCCTTTTTGACACCTTGGGCCTTTGTTTTTTTTCTCCTTTGTGCACCCCGTGCTTCATCTATCTTCATGGCCCATTTCTTCTTTTTATTATTCTTTTTATTTTGTCTTTCCATTTATTTATTTTCCCACTTTATTTTCTTTTTTATTTGACTCAAAATATGTTATTTATTTTAAATAACTTTTTATTTAATTTAATGTTAATTTATTTTTTTAAAAAAATTATTAATTAAATTATGTAGCTTTGTTTAGTTTAAGTAATATTGTGTCTTTTTATTTGAATCAATTTAAATTGTGTGATTGTTTTTTTTTAGTGCCTTGTTATTTTTTTATTATGATGTGCTTGTTCTTGATAATATATCTTGATATTGATCTCACTTACATATTCAAGATATTTTTAAAATAATTCTCAATTTAATACCGAGTTCTTCTTCACCCTTGTAAGTCGATTCCCTTGTGCATCATCGTCGACCTCATATTCACACGTGCACTCATTCATAGCTTACTTTTGAGCTTTATTACAATGAGACTTATTCGATTAATTAACCCTATTAGTCGTCTAAAATACAAGCTCACTTTACAAGTGCACACGTAACTTAAAATCCGATTTAATTATTTTATCGCTTTCGTGATTCATTTATTTGTGTATGCTTGTTTGTTTGGGTGTGTGTTTATCATTCATTCTTATCCCCATTCAAAAAGATGTACCCTCATCCCCATGAAATGTAAAATAATTTTATGACTTTCTTTTATTCGCTTGTTTATATTTTGTCATTTCATGAAATCAAAACCCTAAAGCATAATTGATCCATATATCAAACCCTATCCTAATCTTGTAAGCCGGTTGCCTTGTGCATCACCATCGACCTTACCCTATACCCATTAGGACCTCCTTTCCATTAGGTCAAACCCTTAGACCATTTCAAACGCAAATTTAAACTTCGATCAACATCGAGTATTTTCTCTAAGTTAAATTAATCAACTTAAAAAAACTTACCTTATTTCATTAAAAGATCAAAAGGGAGTGAGTCTTAAGCCTTCAATTCTTCTCCTCAATTGTTTGGATACTAGGAGCCTTCCTTACTACTCGAACATTTGTCTTCTCTAAAAGACTTATAATTCGTTTCACATCAAATCATTTTCATAACAAATCGAATAAAACCTATTTTTCTCAATCACTTAGATGAAAAAGAGAGAGTCTTGAGCCTTTGATTCGGTCTTCCAAATACTTGGATACGAGGAGCCTTCCTTGGTCATTCAAGTGCTCGTCATCCGCTTAAAACACTTCAACTATATCAAACCCTTTTACAATCAAGGATGAAAAGGGAGAAGTTTCGAGCCTTCGATTCTTCTCTTTGATTATTTAAGTACGAGGAGCCTTCCTCAGGCATTCAAGTGATCGTCATGCATACAAAACATCAACAAATTAATTAAACTTCTCGCTATCCTGTGATTATAACTTTTTCTCAAAAGAATGATGTTTAGTCCTTTCTAATGCGCCCATAAACTAAATTCTTAAGCCTCCGCCAAGAGTAGACAAGCTAAAATTTCTCCCTTAGAATGCAACCTAAACATTTGTTTGATAAAACAAACCAACAAATCATAGTCACACGAACTACAGATGCTCCGATTCTTCATTTTTTTCAAATGAAGATACGTAGGCACAAGTACCCCAATCTTTGGCGAGCACCCTAATAAAAACCACCCATTTTCATTTAGTAAACTAAACCTTTTTTCACTTACCATTTCACATTATTCACTTAGTAGAAAAAAATAACATTAGCTAATATTCCATCATAAATCGAACCAAGAGGTTTCCGTTGAGTACAACGGACGTGGGGGGTGCTAATACCTTCTTCTTGCGTAATCGGCTCCCGAACCTAGAACTTGGTTGCGATGATCATGTTCTTTCCTTAAAGGTTTTATTGATATTTTCCTATTCCTTGATTGGAATGAATAAAGTTTTATGGCGACTCTATTCGAACCATTTCCCGCGACCATTCATGAAGGATTGTATTTTTTTGAGGTACAACACTGGGTGAAAAGATTAAAGAAACAAAATAAAAGTTGAATAAGCTCGAGATCAAAGAAGAGGCATTGAATTTAACAGCAAAAGAGTTAATCCAAAAGAGAGAATCTGCAGCAAAATTATTCAAACTTTCAAACCTCAATAGTAGTATTCTATGGCAACAATCAAGAATCCGGTGGTTGAGAGAAGGTGATGCAAACTCGAAATTGTATCATGATGTTGTCAATAAGAGAAGGAAATACAAGAGTTGTTATTGATAGAAATAGGTGGAAGGAGGTTGAAAGAAGTTGATGTGATAAAAAAGGAAAGATTTGAATACTTTTAAAACCGATTTGCTGGCAGTGCGAGAGAAAGGCCAATGTCGGTCAACTTAGATTTCACTAAACTAAATGAAGGAGTAAGCATTGAATAGGTGAGAGAATTTTTTGAAGGAGAAGTTGGCAGAGAATTATGGGAATGTGAAGGATCAAAAAGTCTCGGGGCAGACAATGTTAGTTTTGATTCCATAAAAGAGTTTTGGCCGGATACTAAAGTTGATTTCTTGAGGGTGATAAGTGAGTGAATTCCACATGCATGAGAGGTTTTTTTAAGGAAAAAATGGCTCATTCCTAGCCCTTATTCCTAAGAAAAACAGTCCCTCTAGGATTTCGGATTTTCGACCAATTTCTCTCGTTGGATGCAACTACAAAGTAATATTAGAAGTGTTGGCCAACAAACTGAAGAATGTGATCAATATAATTATTTCAAAAAGCAAATCAAAATTTATATACGAAAGGCAAATATGCGACGAAATTATTGTTGTAAATGAAATTGTCGATAAGGCGAGGTGAGAGAAGAAGGAAGCAATAATGTTCAAAGTGGACTTCAAAAAAGCATGACTCGGATGATTAAAACTTCCTACTGTTTGTGATGGAAAATATGGGTTTCCACAGTAAATGGATTAAGTGGATTAAGGAATGCTTACATTCGACAACAATTTCAGTACTGGTAAATGGAAGTACAACAAAGGAATTTAAAATAGGTTCGGGTTAAGACAAAGGGATCCATTATCGCCATTCCTATCCCTAATCATCATAGAGGGATTTAGTTTATTGATGAAGAAAGCAATTGAGTTAGGAAAGTTTTTGGGAAACAAATTTGAGGCGGGTGCAGATCGTTTCTCTCATTTACAATACACAGATGATACATTAATCATTGGTGAGAAGAGTTGGGCGAATATTAGAACCATAAAAGAAAATTTAATGTTGTTCGAAGAGATGTCAGGTTTAAAGGTAAATTTTCAAAAGAGTTCATTTGTGGGAATAAATGTTCCTCACTGTTGAATAAGCAAGGTATCAAGGATTCTTAAAAGCAAAATAGATTATGTTCCTTTCAATTATCTCAGGATCCCGATTAGGGCGATCTTGAAGAGAAAGAGTAGTTGGAATATGGTGAGTGAGATTATGAAGCCTAGACTATCAAGATGGAAGAATAAGCACTTATTGTTGGGCAGTCAGATTGTTCTATTAAAGCCAATCTTGTATTCTATTTCGGTTTACTTTCTCTCTATCTTCAAGGCCCCGTCAGGTATTATCTCAAATTTAGAATCATTTTAAAAAAAAATTGTGGGGTGGGTTAGAGGATGAGAGAAATATCAATTGGATTAGTTGAGATAAGGTGTGTAAACTTTTAGATGAGGGTGAATTGAATATTGGGAACTTGAAGGTTTTTAATGAAGCATTGTTAGGAAAATGGGTTTGAAAAGTTAAAATAGTAAAATCAGGCATGTGGTATAAGGAATTGGTAAATAGATATGGTTGGTCAAATGATGGCTTGAATTTGGGGGTGGGGGTGAAGTTTTCAATTTGGTGGAAGGATATTAATCGGATAGTATTAGGAAATTGGCCTCATTCAGACGCATAGGAGTATTATGTAAAGGATGTTTATAAGAGGCTAATATCAGATTATTAGAATCATTATATTATCCCTTGGTGGAGTGATTGATCAGACGAATAGGAGTTTTCAATGTGTGGAATAAGGCGGTTCCGACAAAAGTGTCGAGGTTGGTTTGGAGAATGCTCCAAAACAGAATTTCTAATATAGATAACCTTGTTAAACGGGGAGTGATTAATCAGGGTGCAAATAGGTGTTCAGGAGAGTATGGTAGCGAAAAGTCTGTGTCTCATCTGTTTTTCGAGTGTCTGGTTTTTTGCAGATGTTTAGGGCAACATTCATCAATGGCTTGGAGTGGCCCCTACAATGCATTTTGAAGGATGGCAACATTTAGTGCAGTTTGGTGGATCGCTGGGAAGAAGGAGTCAGGCGTCCTTCAAGATAGTGGTAATTTGGTTTGCTTGTGTATGGGCAATCTGGAAGGCAAGGAAAGAAAATATTTTCGGAATAAGGAAATTAGTGATGCAAATATGGTTGATGAGGCAAACATTTTATCTTGGAAATGGCTTTGTTAGCAAATGCAATTTCTAATTGTATTTCACAATGGTTTACACACCCTATAAAATGTCTCGGTATTACGAATGCTTGCGGATAATTCTTGTGGATCTGTTGTTGGGTTTATGTGCAGAACCTTGAGGGTTGTCAGTAGTGGTGGTATGTTTTTTGGTAGAATTTCAGGTGCAGTGTGTGTCGGGTTTATCATTAGAGAGGTAGTTTGTTTAGCATCTGGCAGTTTTCTCCTCTGGCTGTACTGTTTAGGTTGAGGTCTTATTGTGTTGAATTTTTGTCGCAGTGTGTCTGAAACAGGCCCTTCTCATTGTGTGTTCCTGGTTAAGGATATCCTATTCGTGGACTGAT